ACACATTCTGGGTCTCTGGGTCTCACAGAAGCTGGGGAGCCCCCACCTTTCAGTCACTCCAGCTAAACCCTGCTTCTCAGGGCTGAGAGCTGGCAGACCCCAAATAAAGCAGCTCTGTAGGCTCTGGCTTTGGGGAGCAAGGCAGAAGCGCAGGGGGTTGAATACGGGGGTCACACCTGTTCAATGTTCACGCCCACTCAATAGGGGCCCCAAATTTGTCATTCAAATACCACCCTCATGATCTTTGTGCTGTCTGTGTGTGGCCGCTGGTTAGAATCCACTGATGTAGACGGTAGGGAGAAGCCATGCCAGGGGTCACTCCCAGTCTCTGGCTTCTGCAAGGTACCATTTCTGGAGATGTGGGATAGGAGTTTGGGAGGAAGTGGAGCCGGCAGTGTGGACAGAACCACGGACGTGGAGTGCCCACTTGGCATGCCAACTGACTGTGTGCTCATAGTAGTCCTGCCTGTCAAAAGGAGAGGGCCATCCCTGGGCAGTGCCTTGGCTGGGGGTCAGGCTGAGAGTCCTGGCTGGATTTCATGTCTAGGAGACTGCCCCTCCCCGATGGGGCCCAGGGCTGGGGAGGAGGAGGAGGAGGAGGGAGAATCTAACCCTTAGAAACTCCAGGGCTGGGGGCCGGCCCGGTGGCATAGCGGTTAAGTTCGCATGTTCCACTTCTCAGTGGCCCGGGGTTCGCCGGTTTGGATCCTGGGTGCGGACATGGCACTGCTTGGCAAGCCATGCTGTGGTAGGCGTCCCACATATAAAGTAGAGGAAGATGGGCATGGATGTTAGCTTAGGGCCAGGCTTCCTCAGCAAAAAGAGGACTGGCAGTAGTTAGCTCAGGGCTAATCTTCCTCAAAATAAAAAAATTAAAAAAAATAGAAATTCCAGGGCTGGGGGCCCCAGGCCCTCAGGTATCTGCAGGCTCTGCCCCTTCCCCTGGTGGCCAGCCTAGGAGACAAACTCCTAGGGAACAAGGATTTCAGGCTGCAATCCTGCTGCTTCCTGACACCCCTCCTGCTGCTTCCTGACACCCCTTGGTTAGGAGCCTGTCTTAACCCATGGTGTCCATGAAATCGTGGGTGTGATGTGTCCATTATACATCGGTGCTAAAACATAATAAATACACAGCTATGCAAAGAAGACATGTTCAGCGTTATTTCACTAACGTCGTCTCTGCCTCTCTGCTGTGGTGGACAATGTTATCGGGCGCTGCCTTCCCCCTTCATCTTTGGGGCTCTCTGAGGGCAGGTGTTCTGTCTCCTTTCTTCTCTTCCTTCTCCTCTTCTTTCTTCTTTTTAATTTTTTAATTTTAATTTTTTTTGAGGAACCCTGAGCTAACAACTGCCACCAATCCTCCTCTTTTTGCTGAGGAAGACTGGCCCTGAGCTAACATCTGTGCCCATCTTCCTCTGTTTTATATGTGGGATGCCTACCACAGCATGGCTTGACAAGCAGTGTGTATGTCTGCCCTTGGGATCCAAACTGGCGAACCCCGGGCCGCCGAAGCAGAACGTGCGAACTTAACTGCTGCACCACCGGGCTGGCCCTCTTTCTTCTTTTTAAAATGTGACTTTATAAAACTTGTAATTGAGGTATAATACACATATAGAAAGGTGCACCTATCATGAGTAACAGCTCACAGACTCGTGCAACCAGAACTCAGGTCAAGAAAGAGAACATTATCAGCGCTCCCCAAAGGTCCTTTTTCCTCTTCAGCCTCCTGCCCAATTTAAAGAAAAAGATTCTTACTTAGCTCATGGCTGTTGAGGGCACATCATAGTCACGGCTTTATTGTATTATTACAGCAACCCTGTGGGGCAGATGATTACCCCCATTTTACAGTCAGGGAAACTCAGGCTCAGAAAGGGTAAGTGAACTGTCGGGGTCAAAGGGTCAATAAGTGACGGGGATTGGTCTTCTGAAGTCAATTCTGTGTCACACGTCTCCATCACATTCTTTAATGTGCAAAAAGGGGTGGATGAATACGTCATCAGAAATAAATCTGCATGGACAGCTCTGAGATTATTTTCCCAGAAACATCCCCTACTTCTGGAGACTTCTCCTGTTTACACCCTTCAAAATGCTTCCTGAGGGAGCTGCCAAGTTCTTACAGGGCCCTGCCTGCTGGTCACAACTGATTGGTCCAGAAGTGGGCACCTGACCCAAGATGGGCCAATCAGAGAGCTTTCCTGGGTATTTTGGTTTCATTCTTTCTCGGGAAATGTAAAACTCAACTGCTGGTCGTCAGTTATGTGGAGAAAGCCAGCCTACAGTGAAAGAGAGAGAGAGAAAAGAGGGGAGAGGAGGGGGGAGGAAAGGGGAGAAGAGAGGAGGAGAGGAGAGGGGAAAGGGAGGGGAGGGGAAGGGAAGCAGGAATGAGAAGCAGAGGAAAGGTCCTTGTGGTATTTGCATCCCAGATTCCAGTTGACCCTGAGGCTCTGCCCCATCCTTCCTGTTCCTGCAGCTGGGTTGCAATGTGGCAAGCCTCCCCGTCCATCCATCCATCCATCCACCCATCCATCCAGTGCATCCCCCTTTCCACCTAAGCCAGACAAGCAAGCTGCTGTCCGCAAGCAAAGGTACATTAATCAATAGACCAGAGAAAAAGCAACCAGTCTATCTATTTAAATGTTTATACACGCAGAGATCAATTTCCAGCTGTTTGAGATATAGATGGATAAAACGGACTCCTCTGTAGAATGGGGATAAGGTAACCTATCTTGTGGTATCACTGTGAGGGTTGCCTGATTAAACAAATGTAAAGCAGCCTGCCTAGCATGCCTTCAATGATGAGATATTTTGGGAGTAAGTGTCCATTTTAAAACCTTGAACTCAGCTCTTCCTCACGGTGGAATTCTAATTAATCAATGTAGAAAGAATGATGGAAACAGAAAAGCACCACCTAATGACCGTTGCAGGCCAGAAGCGGTAATGGATGTTAAAATTAGTGGGCAGAAGAATGGTGAGGAACAGAGTACTTGCATTGTCTTAAAGTGTCTCCCGAGAAGATACTTATTACTTATCAAGGGGAAGATGGTAACTGCACAGTGGAGAAACCCGTAAACTTCACCTTAACCAAGCTACTAAGGTTAAATCACCAGTCATAAGACACATCCATAACACGTACCTCCCCATATCATGCACAGAGAAGGGTACATCGCCTCTGTGGTTTCCGCCCTCAAGTTCATGTTCTCAACCTCATCATGAGGAAACATCAGAATAACCTAAACTGAGGGACATTCTACAAAAATAACTGTTCAGTACTTTAGAAGTAGCAAGGTCATAAAAGACAAACTGAGGAACTGTCAGGGACCGGAGGAGACTAAGAAGACATGACGAGATGTGATGTGGGAACCTAGATTGGACCCTGAGTCAGAGAAAGGACACGAGTGGGAAAGCTGGTGACATTCAAGTAAGGCCTATCGACTGGCTCACAGTATTAGCTCAGGGTGAATTTCCCGGGGTCGAGCACTATACCATGGCTATGACGTAAGATGTTAACATAGGGGATTCTGGATGAAAGGTATACAGGAACTCTCTATACTATGTTAGCAACTCTTCTGTAAGTTGAAAATTATATCAAAATAGGAAGAAAAAAAGCATACATCCTTGAACTGGAAGAGAAAAATCTCAGGTCCAGTCTGTCCCCAATAGGTTTGCTTGAACTAATGATGTAAGTATCAACGACATGCAAAATTTAAGGAAAAAACTATAAAACCAAGATAATAGCTGAAGCTATAATTTAATTCATGGAGATAGCTGCCAAAGACTTCCAGTTTATAGAGTACCTGTCCCCCAGCGGAGGGGAGGTCTTTTAGCTCCGCGAGCTTATTTCTGGGATGAGAGCACACAGAGGAACTCAGATCCTTGACCCAATCTCACAAGAGTTGCAGCAAGAGATCCCTCCACCAGTATTACTCAACAGCTGCTCCTTTAGCCTCTGCTTGAGTGCCTCTGATCATGAGGAGCTCACTACTCTCTTCCTTTGGATGATTTTTAGTTTGTGAGCCCAAGTGCCATTGATAGAAATGAGAAATCAGAATTAACCCACATGAATAGGACTAAGTAACCCAAGCTGATAGAGCACTGCATAGCCACTGAGAGTGATAAGAATGTGGCTTATCGCAATGCACAGAAATGTGTATGTATTAATCTTAAGTGACAAGAGCAGAACAGAAGTTGCATTTACACACTGATTACAGCTACATTACAATCTGTGTGTACATTAAGAGCTAGAAGAAAATTTAGAATGGTACAAATAGTTGTCGTTTCAAGTTGCCTTGATTTTTAACCAGTGGTATATGTATAGAATTCTAAATGAAATTTAGTATCCAGAATTTTTTTAAAAACCCCTCCATTAAAGGGCTTGGGGATTGTCAATTCAAGATTGATTGAGAATGGCTGAATGGTGCACTAGATTGGTAAGAATCCTAAGGCCATGTCTCAGCACTATGGGCAAGAGCGATATGTTTGATTAGTGATGTCTTCCAGGGTGAAGGATTAGCAGTGGCAGTGTGCGTGCAATGTTGTTGCCATCTCTTCTTGACACACTCCCAGCAACCAGTGTCACTTTTGTAGACACTCTGAAAGATCAATGAGCTAATTAAGGAGCTATGTGCAGGAAGAGACCTCTTCTGTTAGTCACAAGCAGTAGGATTTGGGGCAAGTCATTGGGATATAAGATGGAATGAAATATGTACCACAAGGGGAGGAAAGGCAAAGTCTTCTGCAGCAGAGGCCCATTTGAGAGTAGGGGGGCACAGTAGGAAGGCTTTGTGGCATTTGTACTGGGTCTTGAAGAATAAGATTTTGCAGGTGGCGCTGCTTGGGAAGGGTATTCAGGATAGAGGGTGCGGCATGGATAAAGGCATGGAGGTTGGAAAGCAACAGGCCTCCTTGGGAGGAAGCAAGGAGGTCGCTATGACTGGAGGGTAGCGCAGGCGTAGGATGGTGGTGGAAGACGAGCTGGAAATGACGGAGGGGCCAGACAGAGCGTGTCCTGACAGCCAGGGCGATCAGTTTGGATTTTATTCAGTTAGTCACGGGGACTTGGACAAGTTTTGAGGCAGGTGGTGCTTAGAGGGAGATGAGACCAGAGAGTGATGACAAAATGGTTTTTTCCTGGAAGACCACCACTATGAGAGGATCCCAGGCCCTGGATTTTGAGAAGATCCTTTTGGAGCGTGGGGTGGAAATTAGAGCAGTGGGATAATGGGGTGCGGGAGATATAACGAAGCCCCATTGAGAGCAATCCCCTGGGTTCCATCTACGGTTCAGCACTCCTGAGCTCCAGGCCAGGCCCAGGGACGTGGAAGCTGCAGCCTCTGCCTCTAGGAGCTTCTAGTCTGTGGAGAGAGGAACCATACCCCAGGAAACAACTAGACCACGTAGGATCCAGCACCAAGGGGAGGGAGCCAGCCGGGCGTGCAGCATTTAGGGGTAGAAGATGAACCTGGGCAGCAGCCAGTGGGTCAGGCATCCTGGGGCTCCTGTCCTTGGTGGGAGGTGGCCCTGGATGACTTCTAAGGTGTCCTCAGACTCTGCACATCCTGGCTCTAGGAGAAGAGTCCTTGAGCAGAACTTGGACATGCAGAAGGGAGAGAAATGGGCTTTCTAGGTATGGTCGGGGGTTGGGGGGGCAGGTCGGGGATAGACCAGGGGCAGACGAGGACTTGGGATGTCTGGGGACACTGAGATGACTGAGCTGTCAGATCAGGTTGGGTAGGCAGGGGCTGTAGACCCTAAGGCCTGGCAGCCAATCAGGATGCCCTGGCTTGATGCAGTAGGCCAGGGACACTTAGAAGGGATGTAGTGCGACTGGGGTTTGGAGAAGGATAGCCTGGCAGCCATCATACTCCTAGGGTCCTACCAGATAAAGAAAGGGTCCCTGGAGGCTCATGCTGGCGGGTCTGGTAGGCCTCACGAGACTTAGGGGATCCCATGGATTCTGCTAGATTCATAGGAGTTGGCGAGATTCCAAGGATCCTATGACTTTCTTTTGCCTGCTCTTCCAAATCTGCAGACCCTCCCACCCCCGGGAAGGCTCTCCCTCCCTACCATGCCTCCACCCCAGAGTCCGTCGTGTCCCTGGGGACAGAAGGGAGGCATGAGAGCTGGCTTGGCCTTCAGACACAATCAGGCAGGTGCCTCCCTCTCTGTGCCAGGCCTGGGCAGACCTCTAGGTCCCTCCTTCCCCTCCATCATAGGGTTAGGGGAGGCTCCAGGGCTCTGGCCAGGCTGTGGGTGGTGGTGGCCAGAGTGGAAAATCCCCCACTGGCTGAATTATATCGGTGTTTGGCAGGCCTGGTCTTGGCCTTCTGCCTGGGGCTCAAGGGCCTGACAAATCTGTTTGGAGCCCTGAGTGCAGGGTATGAGGTGACAGACAGGGTACTGGCATGGGGACTTTTTCCACTCACCCCAAAATGAGGGGTTCTCCTGTGCCAGGTTAGCGGGCGCTGGGTCAGCCTCGGGTCACTTCAGGCAATGAGAAGCTTGTAGCTGGGAAGCAGGGCTGCCGGAGACGAGGGATAGAGGCACATGATGGATCAGACTTGGGGGCAGGACAAAGGGTAGACGGGGGCTTGGGAGAAGGGTAATGGGGGACACAGGAGTTTTAGGAGACCTCAAGATGGGGGTAGAGTCGCCATGGGGCAGGAGAAGAGAGACAATGAGGAAGAGAAGCAAGGGCATTCTTGTCCCCTCTTCCTATGCTCCTGCCCAGGGCTCCTGTTGTTCCAGATGAGTGTGAGAGGCACAAGCAGGAGCCAGTGCGGCTTACACTATGGGTGTGTCCTGAGTACTTGCTGAATTATGATGAGAATTTCTCCAAATGCCCCATTTGACCAGGAAAGCCTCTGAAGCTGCCCCAAATAGGTTGGACTTCAGCCATTGGCATCCCAGCTGCACCACCTGCATCAGGGCTAATGATACCACCATCAGCACCACCCTCACCACCGCCATTATCATTACCATCATCCTAGCTACTGACTGCATCATCCCCAGACCCCCCAACTGCACCCCTCAAAGGCTTGGGGGTCCTGGGAACCAGGACTTGAGCCAGACCTTCGAGCACGTCACCCATGGACCAGTGGTGCTCAGCAGTTTTGCTCCACAAGGGGACATTGGCAATACCTGGAGACATTTTTGGTTGTCACAGCTGGGGCACTGCTGCTGGCCTGTAGTGGGTAGAGGCCAGGGGTGCCACTAAACATCCTACCGGGCACAGGACAGCCCCCCAACAAAGAATTATTTGTTCCAAAATGTCAATAGTACCGAGGACGAGACACCTGCCTATAGATCCCATGGCCCTCACCCCAAAATGCCCCTGTCAAACCTCTGGGTCCTGGACAAGAAGTGGTCTTCACTGCTCCATCTCACGGCAACTTTGTTCTCTCTTATCGCGCACACCTCCTGGCCTCCACTGCTTGTATTAAAAAGTCAATAAGATGAAAAGTCCTTTGCGGCCACCATCGAGATGGAAAACACACAGAAACAACTGATACACGGAGCACAGGGTACACCCGGGATTGAGGTCGTGTTTGCCCAGGGCAGGGAGGCAGGGACTGGACCAGATCCCGGGATATAAAGGAAGAGGGAGTGCCCAGGCCTTCACTCCACGGTGACCACACAACTTGGAGCAGCTTTTCCTCTGCGGCCAGTTGGGAATCGGCGTCCTGAAGTGGACGGTGGTGGCCTTCGGCCTTCAGCTCTTGGAGGCGGCAGAGGTCAGGTAAGTCTGTGGCCTGGCTAGTGGTGCAGCAGCTTGAGCAGGAGACTGAAACCCTGCGAGGGGCAGCCTGGCCAGGAGACACCCAATCTATCTCTGGTCTGGAATTTCTGCTAGGGGCAGAGAAGGCTCCCTGAGCAGGTGTAGGACAGGACCCAGAGGTGGGAGGAGATAGAGCCTCTGCCCTCAGGAAACTCCAGTCGAAGGGAGAAGCACCGTCCCTTCCCCCATCTGATGAGAAAAGGCAGACCCGAAAAAGAGAGAGCGAAAGAGAGAGTAGGGGTCCTACTGCCCAAGCAGACCTGAATGGCAGGTGTGGTTTCCTCCCACCGAAGGGAACAAATATTTCTGGGTAGGGAGACATTGCTAAAAATTTCCTTAAGGCCCCAAATTTATTTGGCAGATGCCAAAATCATCCAAGCAGAAACACCAGTAATGTAATCTCCATATGCTGAGGTGTCAGGGGAAAGGGAGTGAGGTGGCATGGCTCACAGGACATCACGGGAGCTCCTGGCCTGCCACACTGCTGCTCTTCCATCATTAAAGAGTGATTCCTGGGAAAAGAGATGGCTCCTCTCAGAAACTTCTTTTAATATGCAAATTCTGTAGAGGTGGTTAGGATGAGGCAACAAGGTGGATGGGTTTAGCAGAGAATTTCTGGAGAATGCAAGGAATTCTGCAGCCTGGAGCAAGGCCTGGGTGGACCAGCAGAGACCCCCTAGGCAATGACAGCAAGCACGTCTGGGAGGAGGAGAATGAGGGTGACATGGGCAGAAACCCACAATTCATAACTCCCAATTCCAGAGCTGATCCGGGCTCCAGACCACCAAGGCCAGCTTCCCCATTGTCTTGGGGTCCTGAGAAGAGCTGTGACTGGCCCCAGGCAGACAATGAGCAGGAGGGGCAGAACTAGGATCCTGTCTTCTCAGTCCCAGTCTAGCCGTGTTCCCCTATACCCATGCTCTGTCTGTCACATTCAGCCAGCGGGGTGCCTGAGGGCCACCACACAAGAGGACTTTCTTTGGGGTGAACTTGGCCATCTCGGAAACCTTTTTAAAAATGCACATATTCAAAGGACAATGCCTGGAGTTCCTCTCCCCTTCCTGGGAAGGAATTTATGGGCTATTTGACAGAAGAGGACCAGGGTGGGGTGAGGACCCTTGAGATGGGAGGCAGGGGCATGCATGGGTGAAGGTCATTGTTTTCTGAATCTTGGAGCAAGTCCTGAAAAGAGTTTTGAAAAGAAAAGAGAAAGAGAAGGAGAGGGGAAGAAAGAGGGAGGCAGAGGGAGAAAAAGTCAGAGACAGAGATAGAAAGAGACATTGAGACAGAGAGAAACAGATGGAGACAGAGACGGAGACAGAGGAGGAGTGAAACACACAGACACACACAAGCGACACATGTGGGGGGACAGAGTGGCAGGGAAACTGAGGCATACATTAGAGTGGAGAGAGATTGGGGGTCAGGGCTATTAGAAGCGCCCTGACCCCCAACCTGCTGTGGAGTCCCCCTGGAGAAGTAAAGTCCGTCCATGAAACGACGAAGGAAAAGGGCTTACTGAAGGAACTCCTGAGGACCCAGAAGTACAGCCCTGTCCGGAAGTACTGCCTTGGTGACGTCGGCGTGGCCTATGAGCCCATGGCCTACAAGGATGTGCGTCCTGACCCTCCCCGGGGGTACCCCTCTCCCTGCTGCCAAAGGCTGAGGGCCAGGCCTGGGCCATGAGCTGCACCCCTCCTCTCTGCACCCTCCCACCCGTCCCCTGTAGCTTGCTCCCTTCTCTCAGACCTGCCAGCCCAGATTGCCTTCCCTGGGCAGAGCACGGGAGGGCCCCTGCTCACTTGGCAGCTCAGTCCACTGAGAGAACTTTGCAGCTAGCTGCCCTGGGTGGGCATGGGCTGAGGGTCTGTAGGTTCTGGGCAAGTATGGAAGGAAGGCTCAGGCCCCTGCTTCTGGTGCGGGCTGTAGGGCAGGGGCTGGTCCCTCCCCTGCTCTGTCCGTGGAGGAGGCTGGGCCTGATGTTCCCTGGATCCCTCCAGAGCTAACAGACTGCCTCATGGCCCCCCAGGCTTCCTGCTTTGGCAAGACCAGCATTGGGACCCCACCACAGAACTTCCTGGGCCTTTCTGATACGGGTTCTTCCAGCCTGTGGGTGCCCTCTGTCTACTGCCAGAGCCAGGCCCGCAGTGAGGGCTGGGCTGGGCAGGGGAGCGCAGCGAGCAGGCAGGGCACTGACACCCTCTGGGAAATGGCCAAGCAATAGGGATTGCTGGGGGGAGCTTCGGTCCTGGAGAGGACCAGGGACTTGTCCAGGGTCACACGGCACACCTAAGCCAGAGGGAAGCTGGCTCTGGAGCTGTGTAGCCCCTTTACCTTCTCTGCTCATCGTCCTTCATGTCTCCAGTCCACCCCACTCTGCTCCACTCTTTACAAAGTTCTCACTGAGTTTCTCCAAGGCAAATGGGAGAACAATACAGGATGTGGTCCCCAACCTGTAGTTGTATTTGGAGACTGGCGATGTTCACTTACTTTCTTAAGGCTGCCCTGGTCCCTGCCGAAGCCTTGGGGTGTGGGTCCTGACCCCTCTAGTCCAGAGGGTTCCTCATTGGCCCTGCCCTATACTATCTTGGGATCCTGGCACGGCAGCATCTTGACTGGGTGAGGGTCGGGGGAATGCAGGGATGCCCCAGACCCTCATTCACTTCTTCATCTGATGAGTAATTTCTCAGCACTTACTCTGTGCCAGGCGATCTGCTGGGGGCAAGCGAGACAGAGATGGATTCCATGCAACCCGCCACAGGGAGATCACAGTCCTAGGGTACCCCAAGAGTCCGTAAGTCAGAGGGGGCTCTGGAGCCAAGGCTGACCAGCTCCCATGCACCTTCCAATGCCAGGAACCTCGGTTGGCTACCCCTAACTGGGTGGCCTGGGGAGTGCTGAAGTCCCAGGATGTGAGCACAGGCTGGGAGACAGGCGGGAAACCCTACAGGCTTGACAGCTGGATAGCCCCCAACCAGCCAGCCAGAATTCCCTCACCCTGCAGCTGACCACGCCCACTTCAATCCCAGGCAGCCCTCACCCACTCTGCCAACAGACAGACCTTCTCCCTGCATGCGGTATGGCAGCGGCAGCCTCACCGGCTTCTTCACACTCTGATGGTGAGTGATGCTGTCTGCGGCTCCCCACGCCAGGACATGGAGTCTGATGGGGAGACTGAGCCAGACACCCTGAATATGGAAAAACACCTTGTGCTCTACTGTACAGGACAGGAAATAGTATAATAAAGGCTCATTCATTCACTCCTCCAGCCCTCACTTGGGGCCATGATGTGCCAGGCACTGAGGAATCATGATGAATGGGGTGACAGGTCCTTTTCCTTAAGGAGCTGAAAGCCTGGGGAAGGAGATGGTAAGGCGAGTGCTTCAGCCATCAGGGAAGGCTACTTGAAAGAGAAAGCGGCTCTTTCAGGATCTGCCAAGAGGGGAAGGAGCAAAAGTGAGGGAGGGATGAAGAACGAGTGTTGAGGGGTCTCTGGGGGAGTGTGGGATGGGGAGCGAAGTTACACTTGTCACCTCCCATCCTCTGTGGCCCCTCCAGGTCCAGAGCATCCATGCCCCCAACCAGAAGTTCAACCTGAGTGAGAACGGGCCGGGGCCAACTTCATCTACTTGAAGTTTGAAGGCATCACGAGCAGGGCCTACCCTGCTCTGGCCATGCGTGAGGCCACCACAGCCCTACAGGGCCTGCTGCAGGAGGGTGCCCTCACCAGCCCAGTCTTCAGCGTCTACCTCAGCAAGTGAGGACCCGCCTGGAGGTCCCCAACTCCCAGAACCCCCCCAGGCCTGGACAACTGAGGCTCAATGCTTTGGGGTTTGGAGGCCTCCCAGTGGCCATTTGGCGCCAGCCACTGCTGTCCTAGGGCCTTCCCTCCTGGGCTTCTGATTCCTCCCGCACCCCACCCCTCTCCCCGACCCCTGCCTCTGTCCCCACCCCCTCTGACTTCTTTGCATTTCTTGGTCACAACAGAAGCTCTTCTCTTCTAGCTGAGCTTTGCTGTGAGTGTTGCTGCTGATTCTCAGTACCTCTTGGATTTACCTCCTGCCCAGCGCCCCAGTCAACTCATTGTCTTCTGACCAAACATTTTCCATCGGGACACCTCTTTGTATGGTAATCTATTGCTTCATCTCCTTTGATCCATTGTTCCAGCCAGGTCCTGGAGTCTTCTGGGCTAGGTCCGCCATTGACCCCTAACAAGTTACCAAGTAAATGCAGGTTATTTACAGGGATGGGCCTGGGACCCAGGGAGGTGGAAGAGGGTCAGGGGCCTGGGATGGACTTTGCTTTTTTCCTCGCCAGAATTAACCAACCACTTTCTAGAGATTGGCAGCATCTAGTATCTGGAGTTTAATCAGTTGAGTGGGACTTTCTATGATATTACCCTGTTACTAATGTTGCTGACTTACTCTCTACCTCTGTTTACAATTACTCTGAATTTAGCTTTTAGGAGCACCATCCAGTTCCACGCTCACATTCGGCTACGAGGGGAGGCCTCTGCAACAAACACAGAATGTCCCTCCATCCTCTCCACCAAGGCTCTACCTCCCTTCAGTCCCAGCAGAAAAGTAACAAGCTGGGCCCAGGTCAGGCTCCTAGTGACACAGTGCACTAGCAGCACGAAGTGGAAGGGACAGGAGAATGGAACAGGGCGTCAGGAGGAGGGGCCAGACAACCAGTGCTTTCCCCACAGGCAGGACTTTGTGGAGCAGCATAACCTGGGAGCCTGAGGCACTGGGAATTCTGATAGGCTCAGCCTGGGAGCCCCAGTCAGAGATATGGGGAGACATTGTCTTTCCTCAGGGAGCCCTAGTCCGAGGGGGGACACGGCCCTGCCTCAGGGAGCCCCGGTCTGAGGGGGGACATGGCCCTGGCCTCAGGGAGCCCCGGTCTGAGGGGGGACACAGCCCTGGCCTCAGGGAGCCCCGGTCTGAGGGGGGACATGGCCCTGCTTCAGGGAGCCCCGGTCTGAGGGGGGACACAGCCCCGGCCTCAGGGAGCCCCGGTCTGAGGGGGGACATGGCTCTGCCTCAGGGAGCCCCGGTCTGGAGCCAGAGCAGGACTTCTGTTTTCCTCTGAGGGTGACTGCTCAACAAGGAAGTCCCTTTCCACAGCCACTCCCTGACTCACCTTTCCTTTCACCTCCTGCAGCCAGCAGGGGTCTCAGGACGGGGGAGCAGTCACCTCTGAGGGTGTGGACAACAGGCTGTACGTGGCGCATCTCCTAGGCCCCATCACCCTGGAGCTCCACTGGCAGATCGGTGCTGAGGAGAGAGTCTGTGGCAGGGCTTTGGGGATGTGGGCACTTCCTTGGAGCAGGCTTTGAGGCACTTCACGTCACACACATACATCCAGGTACTGCTGGGGGGTGGGGACAGAGGACCCCTGAGGCCTGCCCCTGCAAAGCCACAGCTGCCCTCTGGAGATTCAAGACCCAGCTCAGCCTAGAGAAGAGGGGTGAGATGGAGGCAACATAGGAAGGGGCAGGACTCGGAATCCCAAACACTTCAGACTCTAGTCCAACCCTATGGGTTTACAAATTAGAAACTGGGATGTGAGTGCAGTGAGAACTAATTTGCTCAAAGTACTTACAATGAATCAGTTGCTGTGGCTTTCAGTGTTTCTAGAATCTTCCTTGGAACTTTTTTAGAAACAGATTCCATGGCCATTTAGATAGACTCTGGTATGGTGTGAGGCAGGTGGATGGCTGGATTGACCTCTGCAAAGTTCTTACCTTCCTGAGATGCACCCTGACTCTGTGGCTGTAGCTGTTTGCCCCTCAGTGGTGGGGAAAGCCCACCTTCCAGCTGATCTGGGTTGGAGGGTGCTGAGGCTGTTCATCTCCACACCATTCAGGTTCCTCATTGGTGGCCAGGCCTCCTGCTGGTGCTCCCAGGGCTGCCAGGCCATCATGGACACAGGTACATCTTTGCTCACTGTGCCCCAGCAATATGTGAGTGCCCTTCTGCAGGCCACGGGGACCCAGGAGGACCAGTACGGACAGGTGTGTCTGGTGGAGGCATCCTCTTTCCTAGGAGAGGCCAGCCAGGAGGCATTTATGGTTTCTCCTGGGAGCACAGGAATAGCTTGATTCTCGGCCTCCAAGCTTCTAGTTGCCCCAAGGCACTGGCGGGGGTGGGGGGTGGGGTGGGGGGGGGGGAGTAGGGTGCAGGGAACTGGGATGGCTGGGGCTGGGGGCAGCCTGGGGGCCTAGAGGCTGATTCTGGGGCGCCAGATGCTTGTGCTGAGGAGCTGTGGGGAGGTTACCGCTAGGCAGAATTTCCTCTGAGCTTCAGCCCCTCAGAGGAAACAGGTTAAACACTTGCTGGGCTTTGGAGTAAGAGCGAAAGAACAGTCCTGGGGGCCAAGCCAGTGAGAGACAGGGGCAACCCTTAAATCCACAGCCCCTCACCTCCACAGGGCCGTGCCCGCTGCTCTGCCTCTCTCCTGAGCCCAGCAAAGTGTTTGCCTAGTTCGTGCATCCCACTAACTTTGAGGGGCTGCTGGGCTACTCCTTCTCCAGACCTATGTGTTTTAAGAAGACACTCGCAGAGAAGGGGCATAGATTTCAATCTCTCATGAAGAAATCCAGGCAAGACTAATGTTTTTAGGGGGCAGATGCTCAGGTGTCCCCAAATGCCACCTACTGTGCGTGAGTCCAAATGTGTAATGCCAGCAGGATTTACACAAGACTTTCCCTTAGTGTTGCAACCTCCAGTCCAAAAGCAGACTTGGGGCTCAGGCTGGGGACTAGAGGGGCTGGGGTAGCGGGGGTGGCAGGTACTCTCAGGTGGGCCCTGTTCCTCTCTGCAGTTTCTTGTGGACTGTAACAGCACCCAGAACCTGCCCACCTTCTCCTTTATCATCAGTGGTGTGCAGTTCTCTCTGCCACCCTCCTCCTACATCCTCAACCTAAGTCGTGGTCCCTGCAGGCTGAGCCAGGAGGGACACGAGTCAGGGTGGGAGGAAGGCAGGGGGGCGGGGCCAGAAATGCTCGGTCTGCTCACCTTGTGCCATTTCCCGACTGCTCGCAGCGCTGACTTATTTTCCCCATTCATTGATTCTAAATTCCCTTCTCTGGAACGAGGCTGTGACATAGAAGCATGTCATCTACTATTAATTATTATTATTAATTGGTGGGGAGAAGCACTGGGCTCTTTGTTGAGCACTTACCAGGGTCAGCAGCTGTGCGAAGCACTTTGCCAACACTATCCCACTTAATTGTCACAACATGCGATGAGGAGGGTTCTAAATTCCATTCTACAAGTGAAAACTTGGAAGTTCAGAGAGGTTAAGTAAGTGACCCAAGGCTATATAGCTAGTTAGGGTGAAGCTAAGGTTTGAATGCAGGTTGGTTTGACTTGAAAGCTTTACCACCAGGCTGACCTGCCCCAATCGGGAGCAAGAGGGAGGCTGGAGGGAACACAGGGAGAGGAGACCCTGCAGACGGCCATTGCAGCCTGCATTCACCCATTCCAGAAATGTTCTCTCACTAGCCCGCCTGCTGGTGACTCAGCTGGCCTGCGAGTCCTCAAGGACAGAGCCCCTGGCTCATTCATTTCTGCATTTGTGCCTCTGGCCCGGGGCTCGGGGCTGAGCAGTGCCCTGGCCACATGTGAGTGAATGAATGAGTGCTGCCCGGTTGTGTTGTGCAGAACAATGGCTACTGCACTGTGGGGGTCAAACCCACCTACTTGGCCTCCCAGAATGGCCAGCCCCTGTGAGTCCTCCGGGACGTCTTCCTCAGGTCCTACTATTCTGTCTACGGCATGGGCAACAACAGGGTGGGTTTCGCCACTGCCACCTAGACTCAGTGCCTGGCCCCCTGAGCTCTCTTCTTCCTCTCGGCCCCGCACCCTGCAGGGGATTCTCTCTGTGCTTCTTTGGATTCAGCCTTCCTTTTCTGGACTCTCAACTTTCTCTCCTAATAGATGATTCTTCTCCATGTTGGCCAGCTCATGGTTTTTAGAGGGGAGTTGCAGCCTGTAGGGCAGTTCCTGGGCTCAGGCAATGGGAGAGAGAGAGCCAGGGGCAGATTTGCCTCTGCTGGACCACGTTCTCCCCGAGGTGCTAGGAGGTTTCTGGATGGGTCACTGAGGTTCTAAGAGAACTGGGGCATAAGGTGAGGCTTGGGGATGGGCCCTGTACCCCTCAGAGTCTCTTCACAGCTTCTCCCTGGAGAGGGAAGACAGTGGGTAGTGGCACAAGGCAGGGCATTCTGTTCTGATGGGCAAAGGAGCCCTACTCAACCTGGAATGCTCTGCTGACCTAATATCCCAAAAGTACAAGCAGAATTAGCCCATGCATGTCCACACGCATGTCTCCATGTTTGTCCACTAGCTGTATGACTAGGAGTCCAGTGCGTTCCAGCCTAGGCCTCCGCCTCCTTCTCTGTGATAAGTTTGCACTAGGAGATTTCTGAGGAATGCTGGATGCCTCTGTGTACTTGTAACAGTCATGGGTCCTTTAGCAAGGAGGGTGATGCCACCAGACCCTGTTTCCAGGAAAACTTCAGAAGGTCTAGGCGGAGTTAAACTGATCTTCTTTTCATCCAAACCCTTATGTCCCAGGGCTTGTATCTGAAGAAGGGCTGGCCCTCAATGGTGGGTAGGAGGAATAGCTACCTGAATCACATGGAAATCAAACCCACTTGCTCTAACCAACTGAGCAAGAGGTCTTGTCCCTCTGGACTTCATCCATGTTCTCCTTAGGAGCCATCCAGCAAAAGATCCAGAAAGCTAGGGCAGCATGGGATGGGGAGGAGGAGGAGAAAGCAGAGTATGATGGTTCAGGACCCTGTAACTTCCAACAAGGAAAGTGGACATGAAAGGAGATCAGAACATATCTGATTTTTGATGGTGGTGGGGGGTACTAGCAAGCTCAGACTGATGAGGCCCAAGTGTAGAGGCAGTATAAATCGAAAACTCATAATGGGAGAGGAGGTGGGTTCCATTCTACACTCATATTTCTTTCACCTTGTCCTTGACCAGCTGACCCTAACCTTGTCCCTTACGCTCAGGGTCAAGGGTGAAAGCTCCAGATCCAGTTCAGGTACCCTACTATAAACCAGGAGGGTAACAGGTTTGCCACGGAGGAATTTCTATGGCAACAGCGCACCATCTGGGACCCTACATCTTTCCTAGACTCAGGAAAGGCAGCCTGCTGCAGGCCTCTCCTTGGGGTCAGGCAGGCCAGAGGGTATATCTCTGGTTCGGGACATCACTGCCTGAGAGGAGAAAGAAAACTTGAAAAAGGGGCAGATACGAACTGGAAGGATGGTTCCAAGCTCAAGGCCAAGTCCCTGTATCCAGTCCTGGGCCCACAGAGCGAGACTACAAATCCCGGCGTGCCTGGCAGAGCCGCAGCGAGGACTACGCTTCCCAGCGGGCGCCGCGGCGGGACGACGAGGGGCGGGGCAGGGCGGGGAGGGGCGGGGCGGAGTCGCGGGGGCGGGTGCTGCCCTCTGCCGGGCGCGGCGGGAAGTGGGTGCGGAGTGACAGCGGGAGCCCGGGCGCCGGGCGCGGGGATCGGTGACAGCAGAGACGGCGGCGGCCGCGGGTTGGACGTAGGGAGCGGCGGCGGCGCCGACGGCAGCGGGAAGGGCGGACGGGGCGGGCCTCCCTGGTGGCGCGGAGCCGGAGAGCCCGGGAGGGGGCGGCAGGCACAGCTCGCGGGCCGGACACCTGAACTTGGGACAAGTTGCCGGAGCCGCGGGGCGCGGGCGGCGGACGGATTGACCTTCAGAGCTAGGTGAGCGGGGCTGGGGGACAAGGAGAGCGCGGAGGGCCCGGAACCCCCGCCCCAGGCTTCCCCCGCTCCCATCCCGTGGGTCCGGGAGACAGGTGGGTGGGTGGGGGTGCCGGGTGGAGAGGGGAGTGGGACCGTGTGCGCCGCGCCGCCACCCGCCCCGCTGTCCGTCTAGTTCGGGACGCCTGGCGCGTGGCCAGAGCGGGGCTGCTCGCCGAGCCCGGGAGCCCCTCAGGCCTCTCCGTTCAGGCCGGGGCCGGGGGCGGCTTCTCTGCGACCTTATGTAACCAGGCGGGAGGGGCCGGGGCGGGCATGGGCCTTCCCGGCCGGGGAGCTGGGAGTCGAAGGGGCGGGAGGCGTGGGAGTGTACTTGCAAGAAGTTTAAGGGACGTGTGGGCCCTGCGCCCGCTTCTTCTCCACCGGACGCGGCTGGGGCGGGTGGTTCTGGGGAGGGCGCCGGAGGTAGGGGAGGTGTGCGGGGGCCGAGTCCGGCCGGGCCAGGCCCTGCCTGGATGGTCCGGGGGAGTGGGAGGGCCGGAGCGGCGCCACGCCCCGGGGGCTGGGCTGCTGGAGGGGGGGCGAGGGGAAGTACCATCCCTCGCTCCCTTCCCGTCCCTTTCTCCCCCTTGGTTTCCTGAAGCGGCCGCCCCTGCCCGCGTCCCCTGGTATCCCTGAGCACAGCCTTTTTCTTCCCCTTGCGTTATTCCACGACCTTAGGGAACCCCAATCCCAGAGCTCACCCTCCGCGAGTCCCTCTTTCTGCCTTCGCTGGAGCTCTCAGCCATCTGCCCGCCCCCCGAGTGTCCCCTACCGTCTGGGTCCCGAATCCCAGAAAACACGCCCCCTTCCCCCTATTCCCTGAGTCCGCGGCGCCCAACCCCAGGCTGTCCGGCCCGCAAATCAGCGCCCCTTCTTTTCCCCCCTCCCCGTACCCGGGTCAGATATTGGCGGCAGCGCGTGCGCTTGCCTCCTCGAAGGGAGCGGGCCGATGCCAGCTGGGTCCCCGCCCCTCGGCCCCCTCCCGGCCCGGGCTTTGGCTTCACGCACGGCTGCCCCTAGCTGCTCCGGGTTGCGAGAGCAGGTTCGCGCCGCAGCCGCCCGGCGCGCCCCAGCCTCGCGCCCGGGGGGAGGGCGGGAGGGCGCCCGGGGCGGGGCTCGTCTGCGCGAGCGCCCGCACTGCCCCGGCTCCCCCGTCCCCGATCCCTGCCAGCCCCTCGCCGCGGTGGCGGCCTTCCCCGATCCCGCGTCAACTCCAGCCGTCGCCCACTCGCCTGTCTGTTCTGGGAGCGGTTCTTCGCCGACAGTTTCTGGACTAAACTTGTGCGCAGAGCTTTGGTTTAGCGTTCGCGGGGAAGTGTCAGTTAATTACCGCCCAGCTCCCGCCTCCCACCCTGAGGGAGGGGCTGCTTAGTCTAGCAGGGACGGGGACAAGGCCGGGGTGGGCGCCCAGTGACACCTGTGGGATGTGGGCTCAGGCCCCTGCGCCCACCCTGTCTGAGATTCCACCAGCCCCAGACCCGGCACTCTGGGGCAACTGGTGGGGGGGGGGGGGGCAGGGGGGGGCTGGTCTCTGGTTTCCTGTAGGGCGGCGGCCAGACGCGGGGGGGGGGAGGTTGGAGGGGAGGTGGCTCATATCAGAACACAGTTCTTGGCTCCTTGGCCTATTCCCTCTGAGGCCTTCTCTGTGCCCAGCCTCGGGGACAGCCCCCAGGCCCTCGGGCAGGCAGATCACGTCTGGGAGAGAGCCAGCCAGCAACAGCAGCCTTAGAGGCAGTGGAAGAGCAAGGGCTGGCTGCCTTGAGAGCTGTGCCTGGTAGTCTGCCTGTAAGCTTGTACCATGCCTCAGTTTCCCCAGCCATGGGAAACATAGCAGTTTGCTTGGCCCCCTTCTTTCTGCCTGACTTCTGACTACTGGGATGGGTGAGCTGCGAACCAGAGAGTGATTTTTAGGTGACTCTAAGCTCTGCTTCTCTGGGAGAGGAGCCAATATTGCTTATAGTTGACAAGGCCTGTTACGGCTGCAATCCTATTTCGTCCTCAGCTCAACTCTGTGAGGTGCAGCCAAATGCGAACCCAGGTCTCCTGGTTCTGGTCCATGGAAGGGGTGCAGGGGGTGGAGCAGGGGACATCTCAAGTGAGCACTGAGTCCCCGGAGAACCACCTGGGCTTCTGAGGGCTGATGGCAGGGCTGGGCCAGGGCAGGCAGGAGCCCATTCAGGGCCCCGGGCTGTGGGGATACCCAGTGCCTCCCCACATTGACCTTCAGGCCCTCCTTTCAGCCTCTCAGTTGGAAAGTAGGTGAGTGGGCCTCCTACCCCTCAGGCAGGGCTGCCCTTTGAGGGTCTGGCTTCTGGCCCTGATCCCTCCTGGGGCCCTGTTTATGGCTGTAATTGCATCATGAGGAGTTTATAGAGTTACTTAGCACCTGCCCCCACAGGGAGTGGCCCAGCCACCCCCTGGCTTCTGTGTCTTCCTTTTCAAAGTCAACTTGATTTCTACCAGTAGCAGCAGGGGTTTCCCGGACCGCAGCTGGCATGAAAGCCAGGTTGGGCCTTTGTCCTAGGGATGGGGGGCCGTCAGCACTGGGGGCTGGTGTGGGGCTGCCCTGGAGGTGACCGTGGACATTGGGTTGACTTCCTCTGATACAGAGGGAGGGAGGTCAGGATTTTCAGAGCTGCCAGAAGTGTCCACATCCCAGGATAGAGCGAGCGTATATGCATTTGATGTGTGCATCCTCATCTGAAGAGAGGGCGATGAAATGCACGCTAGGCCATGTGAGGATTCAGGGTGGAGCAGTGCTGGCACGGGGTGAGCCCGTGGTGTTGCTCTGTGTGTCAGTGTGGGGTGTGTGTAACCAAAGGGAGTTTGTGTGTGTGGTTGTGAGAGTGCAGGTATCTAGGTACACGTGTATAGATGAATTTTGTCTACGTGTGTCTATGGGAATGTAACAATAACACAAGAGTATATTAATAAAATATTCATCTATTCTTTTTATGCTATAAGACAATTTTATAATGAAATTTAGTTATAAACAATAGTTGCCAACATTTATTATGCGTTTACTCTTTAGAGTGAGGTAGGAATTATTATTTTCATTACACTGATTCAGACAGCAGTTAAGCAAGTTGCCTGAAGTCACACAGCCTGGAAGCGGGAGGGATTCTAAGCAGGCCCAGCTGACTCCGAGATGCGTGTTCTCAGTCCCTAAAGAAGACCACTGCAGGGTTTCCCAGTTCTCTCTCTCTCTCTTTTTTTTTTTCCTGAGGACGATTCACCCTGAGCTAACATCTGTGCCAATCTTCCTCTATTTTGTGCATGGGTCACTGCCACAGCATGGCCACCGATGAGTGGTGTAGGTCTGCGCCTGGGAACCGAACCCAGGCTGCTGAAGCAGAGTGTGCTGAACTTGACCCCTAGGCCATGGGGCCGGCCCTAGGAGTTCTCTCAAAAGGTGGAGGTGTGGTGGTCTGGGAAACTTCTTTCTCCATCCGGGGTCTCCTACTCTGAGCAGGGGTGGGGACTTGCCGAGGCTCCTGCCCCAGGACCACACTCGTCTCCTTGCTGCTCTTCTGAGCTGCAGACCCAGGAGACCAAAGGACCCTGGCGAGCACTCCTGATTGGCCTGAGGATGAGATGGCTACCAACCAGGCTTCCTGGGTCTCCTTGGAAACCTCAGACGTTAACTTGTTTAATCAGATGTGGAGAAGAGGCTGTGGGGACTGTTAGGGGACAATGAAACACAGCAAAAACATGAGGAGAACATGGGCACCGCACGCTGCCTCGGTCAGGGCGCTGCTTCTCTCAGCCTCAGTTTCCATATCTGTGAACCTAGATCACCTGTGGGGTCCCCTCCGATGAGAACCTTCTGCAGATCTTTGGCTAAGGCACCCGGACAGGAGAGGTTTCAGAAAGGGAGGGACGTGGGGTCTGGGGGACCGCTGAAGTCCCCTCAATAGAGCTTTAGCTAAAGGCTGGCCCTGGTGGAGTGACCAGCCAGGCTTTCTTAGACATAGCTGCAGCCGCCATGTATCAAGCACTGAGCGAAGTGTAGCCTCACCAGGGGTTGTTGGGAGTGTGGGCTCCAGGCCTGGGCTGCCTGGCTTGGAACCCCAGCTCTGCCACTTACTAGCTGTGTGACCCTGGGCCAGCTGCTTAACCCCACTGTGCTTCCATTGCCATCCCTGAAAAGCGAGGGTTATAGTAGCTCTACCTAACAGTGCTGTAGTGAGGGCTGAGCATGTCGATGTGTGCTGCATGGATGGGACTTAGACTAGTGCCATGTTCAGGAAATGTTAGTTATCATCATACTTAAGTCTTACAACTCATTTATTTCTTGATTTCCCATTTTCAAGTGAGAAAATAGAGGCATAGAGAGCTCTAGGGAAGAAATAAAGACCCATGGGTTGCAAACAGGCCTGCCCGGTGCGTCTAACATCTTCAAATGAAATGCCTTACCTGGGGTTTTGTAGACTCCATGGCCACAGTGCCTACCACTCCCTGTTGTACCATACCCAGCCTAGTCTCCACATTTAACAAGATAACACAGGGGACTTGCAGTGCCTGCAGCATCACTCCCACTCCAGCCCTGCCCCTCGGGATTCCTTGGGTAGCATCTGGCCTGGCCGCTTACTACCCACTGGTGACCTGTTGCTCTTCCCTGCATGCCTGCTGCCTGCCCCTCCTTCTCTCTGCACCAGAGGTGCAGATGCCCTTGGCTGCGATGTCACCGAGGGCAGAGAAAATCCCAGCGATGGGGCAGGATCTGGACTTACTGTGCCCACCGGAAGTGCTTGGCTGTGAGGTGATGGGGCAGTGGCTGAGAGCCAAGGGCAGTCGGGAGGGGCAGAAGCAAGAGGCAGAGTCATCACTAGTTTTCTTTCCTGGCCCTTAACTGTGGGCATAGGGAGGAGGAGAAATGAAGTCTGGCCGTCCCTACCTCCATCCAGCTTCCTTGGGGACAGCCCTCCTCGTTGGCTCTTATCCACAAAGAGGCTCCCAGGGTA